CTCAGCCTCCCAAGTAGCTGGGATTATAGGCATCTGCCACCAAGCCCGGCTAATTTTGTACTTTTAATAGGGATGGGGTTTCTCCATGTTGGTTGGGCTCATCTCGAACTCCCAACCTCAGGTGATCTGCCCACCTCAGCCTCCCAAAGTGCTGGGATTACAGACATGAGCCACTGCACCCGGCCTGATAATCTCAGTTTTCAAAAATTCTTGTTTGTTCTCTGGTGGTTCTTTTTTAAAAACTGAGGTACAGTTTACACTAGGTGGCACAAATCTTAAGTGTACAGCTTGATGAGTTTTGATAAATACATACACAAGCACAATCACCACCCAGATCAAAATGCAGGACATTCCCATCTACCCAAAAGGTTCCCCTGTGTCAAGTGGTCAAGCAGTCCCTAAGCACAGCATAGTGGTTGTCAGACTGTCGTCCAGCTTTGCCTATGTGGCCCATGTAGAGACGTACATGGTTGTAAGGGCACCATGGTGAACCTTTTCCCCTACATCTCACACCTTTCCATCAGTACCCTCCAGACATAAGCACTGCTTTGACTTCTCTGTAACTTAGTTTTGCCTGTTCTTGAACTTCATAAAATAGAATAATAAGTATGTACTCCTTCATGTATGGCTTCTTTACTCAGTATGTCTTTTTTTTTTTTTTTTTTTTTTTTTTTTTTTTTTTTTTTTTGAGACAGTCTTGCTGTCACCCAAGCTGGAGCGCAGTGGTACGATCTCAGCTTACTGCAACCTCTGCCTTCTGGGTTCAAGTGATTCTCATGCCTTGGCCTCCTGAGTAGCTGGGATTACAGGCACGTGCCACTACACCCATTAATTTTTGTATTTTTATTAGAGACAGGGTTTCATCATGTTGGCCAGGCTGGTCTCGAACTCCTGGCATCAAGTGATTTACCCACCTTGGCCTCCCAAAGTGCTGGGGTTATAGGCATGAGCCACTGTGCCCAGCCACATGTCTTTGACATTCATCAATGTTGGTGCATATATTAGTGTTTTGTTTTGTTTTTATTGCTGTATATATGTTTGTGTCATTTTCTGCTTGTTCTGGACCTAAGTTTTCTCTCCACTTCTTCTGTAACTTGAATTACTCATACGGTCCCATGTTTCTTAGCTTCCATTCTTTTTTCCTCTCTGTACTTCAGTTTAGGTACCTCCTATTAACCTATCAAGTTCACTAATTCTGTTTTCTGATATGACTAATTTCTAACTGCGATTGTGATTTTATCCTTTACTTCTATCAATGTTTATGAAATCCATCCAATGAGTTTGTAATTTCAGAGGTATTTTTCAGTTCAATAGGCTCTTTTCATTCTCTTTTAATAGATTCCAATTCTGTTGACATTCTGTACATTCGTTTCTTTTTGTCCATCTTCTTCTCTATTTGACATATTAACCATAGTTATTTAAAAATCTTTGCCAGTTCCAATGTCTGGATCATCTGTGGGTCTGGTTTTATTGTTTATTTTTTCTCTTGTGTATTAGCCCCATATTGCTCCATTTTTTGCATGCTTTATGATTTTTAATTGTATGTCACATATTGGGTATAAAAGGAAAGGGGCTTCAAATCTTGTTATTCCCTATAGGAGCTAGTCACCTCGATGCAATTAAGTACTAAACTGGGTTGGGGCAGTGTTGCAGTTCCAGTAAAACTCAATCCCCTCCTGGTTGTCCTTGTTCCTTAGGAATGACCCTCTTGATTTTGGATTGAAAGACTGGTCAGTCTCTGTCTCTCAGATCTTAAAGTTCTGCTCTTCAGAGATTTATAGGGAGCTCTTTAGCTTCCCAACCCACACAGGTGCAAAACCTGGCAAATACCTTATGTTGGGGAGGCCAGCTATTTGTTCACTCCGGGCCTCCTCTCTAAACACTGCAAGACTGTAGGACTTGTCTTCTCAGTCTCCTGCACTGCCTCAGAACTCAGCAAATGTCCCATGGTGAAAACGCTCTGCATTTTGTGCTACTCTAGGTCCTATACGATAGCAAGTCCTTGCAAGCCACCGCAAAAACTGTTCCTTTCTCTCTTCCCCAGTAGGTCTCTCTGCCTTGGGCACAGTCTGATCCTTCATGTCCCAAGGGCAACTGTTCAAGGAAGAAATATGCTGCGCTATCCACTAGCATTCAATCGGAAAGGGCTCCTTTCTCCTTGAAATTTTAGTCCAATTCATTCTTTAATATTTCTGTGACCCTCTTCATTCCTATTTTCAAAAATAAGACATTTTCGGCCAGGTGGTGCTTATGCCTTAATCCGCTAACACTTGGGAGGCCGAGCGGTAGGCGGGTCACTTGAGTAGGAGTGGTGAAGAACCAGCCGGCTGGACCAACATGGGTGAAACCCGTCTCTACTAACATACAAAAGTGCCCGCGGTAGGTTGGTGTGCGCGCTGTAATCCTAGATAGGAGGCTTGAGGCAGGGAAGAATGAAATCACTTAACCCAAGAGGTGGAGGTTACAGTGAACTAGATTGCGCCACTGCGACCCTCCAGCCTGCGCAACAGAGCAGACTCCGGTCTCAAAAAAAAAGACATTTTCATCTAGCTTTTCCCTACGCAGGTTGCAATGGGGATGTTGCGCCGCGGAGATCTACCTAACCTCCCGAAGTTCGCAGGCGCGTGAGCATGGCCAAGGTATTATTTCACTTACCTAGTAGTTTGTTACTTAACTTAACACGACAACACAACTTTCTGCTTTTTAAACAGGGATAGGCGTCTCTGCTCATCTCTGTTCAAAATATGATTTTCTGTTTTGTTTTTGTGTTGTGTTGTGTTTGAGACGACGTCTTTGCTCTGGTCACCCAGGCTGGAAGTGCGAGTGGCGCGCGATCTAGGTCACTACAGAGCTCTGTCGCGCTCTGGATTCACGGCCATTCTCCTGCTGGCAGCCTCCCGATGTGAGCTGGGATACAGGCGCGACACGCGCTACCACGCGCCGGCTTAATTTTTTTGATATTTTTTAGTAGGAGACGTTTCACCGTGTTAGCCGCAGGGAACGGTCGTTGATGCGTGCTGGCAGCCTTGGTGATCACCGTCGTCGGCGCGCTGCCCAAGAGGCGTGGATACAGGCTGTGGGCCACGCCGGCGCGGCGGCGGCCTGTTTTGTTGTGGTTTTGTTTGGTGAGACATGTGGTTGTTGTTCGCGTTTGCGTTGCTTGCCCCAGGCGTGTAGCAAATGCCGCGGCGTGCGGTCTCAGCGGCTCCACTGCGAACCTCGAGTGCGCGCTCCCGCGTGGTGCAAGGGAATTCTTGCCGTGCGCTCAGCCTCCAGAGTAGCTGGATACAGGTGCACACACCAGGCCTGAGGTAAGTTTTTTTGTGTTCTTTCAGTAGAGATGGAGACTTTACTGGTGTGCGCAGAACTGGTCTCGAGTTCCTCGGACCGTCAGGTGATCCACCTGCCTCAGCGCTTTCAAATGGTAGGGTTGGCCCGGGCGCCGGGGTTGGCTCAAGCCTGTAGAACCAGGCAGCTTGTGGGACCGAGCAGGGGATCACGAGTCGAGGAAAATCGATACCATCCTGGCCTACATGGTGAAAACCCGGTGCGTCTCGTACTAAAAAAGCAATCAAAAAACAGCCGGGCGGAGGTCGGGTGGCGGGCGCTGTAGTCCGGCAGTAACGTCGCGAGGCTGAGGCAGGGAGGCGTAAACCCGGGAGGCGGAGCTTGCAGTGAGCTGAGATCGCGGCCACTGCGACTGCCGCCGGGTGACACAGGGAGCGAGACTCTCGTCTCAAAAGTAAAAAAAAAAAAAAAAACCAAAGAGCGGTATTATAGAGTGAGCCACGGCGCGCTGGCCGAATGATAACCTATTCTCCTGAACTTTCTTGAGGGATGAGCATTTTATTCAAGTTCGTCTTTCCCTGTTCTGCTGGTATTACAAGATCACGTTCCCACTTTCTGTTTTTAGTGACTGTCTCACACTTCCGTATCCATGGTGTCATCAAGCTTGCGGCTGTTGTTGGTAATATTAATATTCAGGATGCGCGCTTTTATAGGGTTTCACTGACGGAGCTGAGGGAGGAGGTGAGGCTCCCCAGTCTCGCCTATCCGATTCTTCATTTAAATTCGTCTGAAAACAACTTCCTCAAAGCATTTCTTCCGATCAGCCACACTCAGTCTCCTTTGAGTGGAACCTCTCTTCTCGTCTGCCTCGCGCTGGAATTTTTATGTGAGTGTTGTACACATCCACAGTGTCAGCTATCCTCTAATATTCATAAGCCAATGATTCACATATCTATGATGAGCCTTCACCTCCATCTGGGCTTCCAGACCTATTCATCTACATTTTAATTATTTATTATTTTTATTTATTTATTTTTGAGACAGGACCTCGCTTTGTTGCCCAGGCTGGAATGCAGTGGTGTGATCACAGCTCACTGCAGCCTCGACCTCCCAGGCTCAGTTGATCCTCCTACCTCAGCCTCCTGAATAGCTGGGACTATAGGTGTGTGCCACCATGCCTGGCTAATTTTCTTGCTTTTTTTTTTTTTTTTTTTTTTTTTTTTTTTTTTTGTAGAGACGGAGTTTTACCATGTTGCCCAGGCTGGTCTCAAACTAGGCTCAAGCAATCCACATGCGTTGGCCTCCCAAGTACCTGGGACTACAGGTGTCTACCCCACACCTAGCTTCACCCATACTTTTATCTCCAATAAAATGCAACATCTCTAAACTCACATCCTCCTCAAAGCTCTGATCCTCTTCCTATAATCCTATTTCTGGGGATGATACTGCCATCTGGCCATAGCCTGTATTATCATCCTGATCTCTCCCCCTCCCCATGTCTCACATCCAGTTGCTACTAAATCATGTCCCATGCATACTGCCTGTCCTCCTCCTTCCCCACGGCCACCATACCAGCACTCATGCCTTCTGAGACCTGCCTTCCAGAGAAGCGCACACGCCAGGAGCGTTCAGGCACATGCCTCCTGGGTTCAAGCAATTCTCCCATCTCAGCCTCCCAAATAGCTGGGATTACAGGCACGTGCCACAAGTGGTTTACAGGCACAAGTGGTTTTATTGTTTCTGCCTGGAAGAGGAAGCCCTGGCAGCAGCAGGGACACAGAGAAGACACGGAGCTGCATCCTGCCAGCAGTGTGGATGCTGGTGGCAGGAGTCCACGACTGTGAAGAGCTGTCAGCGTGTGAGCTGGAGCCGCTGAGGAGCTGCACCTAGGCCTGCAGAGGTCACCAGCTTGAGAAGGGGGTCCCAGCCTCACCGATGCCGCTTTCGGATGCTCTGCAGCTCCTGGTAGATGGTGCTGAAGCTGGGCCGCTGCCCAGGCTCATAGGCCCAGCACTGCTCCATGAGCCTGAACACGGCATCAGGACACAGCTCTGGGCAGGGCAGGCGGCCCCCTGTGAGGAGAGGCACAGCACACCAGGCATGAGGAGGGAGTTTGAGGGTCCTCAGCAGACTCTGAGGGATACCATGAGCCATAGGAGCTGCTTAAGATGCACTGTTCTGAAGGACGCACTGTTCTCCACCAAGGGCCCAAAGGACAAACAGGCCTGGCTTCTGATCCCAATCCCACCACATGCTAGTTGTGTGTCCTCTGCCAGCCTGTTTTTCCATCTGAGAAAGGGACATATTCTAGCCGGGCGAGGTGGCGGGCACCTGTAGTCCCAGCTACTCGGGAGGCTGAGGCCGGAGAATGGCGTGAACCCGGGAGGCAGAGCTTGCAGTAAGCTGAGATCCGGCCACTGCACTCCAGCCTGGGCTATAGAGCGAGACTCCGTCTCAAAAAAAAAAAAAAAAAAAGAGAAAGGGACATATTAATCCCTACCACACATGTAGTGATGAGTAAATTAAATAACGTGTGGTCTAGCACAGAACAGGTGCTCACTCAGTAGTAGCTACAGGGATATTCTATTTTTTTTATTTTTTATTTTTTTTGAGATAGAGTTTCACTCTGTCACCCAGGCTGGAACGTGGTGGTGCGATCTCAGCTCACTGCAACCTCCACCTCCCAGGTTCAAGCGATTCTTGTGCCTCAGCCTCCCAAGTAGCTGGGATTACAGGCTTGTGCCACCACACCTGGCTAATTTTTTGTAGTTTTAGTACAGACAGGGTTTTGCCATGTTGGCCAAGCTAGTCTCAAACTCCTAGACTCAAATGATCCACACTCCTCAGCCTCTCAAAGTGTTGAAATTACAGGCATGAGCCACTGTGCCCGAGTTTTTTTCTTTTTTCAGTCAAGGTCTCTCTCTGGCACCCAGGTTGGAGTGCAGTGGCATGATCTCAGCTCACTGCAACCTCTGCCTCCCATGCTCCTGTGATCCTCCCGCCTGAGCCTCCCAAGTAGCAGGGACTACAGGCACATGTCACCACACCCAGCTACTTTTTGTGTTTTTGTTTTTTTTTTTTTGAGATGGAGTTTTGCTCTTGTCGCCCAAGCTGGAGTGCAGTGGCACAATCTCAGCTCACTGCAGCGTCTGCCTCCTGGGTTCAAGCAATTCTCCCATCTCAGCCTCCCAAATAGCTGGGATTACAGGCACGTGCCACCATACCTGGCTAAATTTTGTATTTTTAGTAGAGACGGGGTTTCACCATGTTGGTCAGGCCTCCCAAAGTGCTGGGATTACAGGTGTGAGCCACCGCGCCCAGCCTATTTTTGTATTTTTTGTACAGATGGAGTTTCACTGTGTTGTCCAGGCTGATCTCGAACTCCTGGGATCAAGTGATCCACCCAGCTCAGCCTCCCAAAGTGCTGGGATGACAGGCGTGAGCCACTGGCCAGGTTATTCTTATTCTGCCTGGTGGGAAGGTTGGCATTAAGGGAGTTGGAAGAGTGTGGCTGGAGCATCTGGAAGAGGGTGCAGCCTGAGGCTGCTGTCATCACAGGGTGCTTACCCTTCTCCACGAACTCCCGTGTCTGCTGATTGCTAAGGTTGGGATAGGGGGAGGCCCCCAGGCTGAAGGTCTCCCAGAGCAAGATGCCAAAGCTCCACACGTCGCTCTCAGAGGAGTAGCGGCCTGCAGAGGAGGCCAGGCAACATGAGTGGACCCTCCCTGGGACCAGGGAGAGGCAGGAAGCAGGACCCAGGCCTTGCCTCTGGCCATGCAGTCCAGGGTGGACAGGGACTAGGTACCGTAGTTAAGGGCCTCAGGTGCGGTCCACTTCACGGGGACTTGTCTGAGGCCCCCTGAGGCCGCGTAGACCCCATCAGCTTCCTCTCGGGACATCCCAAAGTCACTGATCTTCAGGACATTCTTCTCTGTCACCAGACAGTTCCGAGCAGCCAGGTCCCTGGGTGAGACAGGGCAGGGGCTCATTTGGCCAATAGTTGCCTGCCCAGCCCTGGCTGAACACTCTAGAAAAGCCAAGGACAAAAGCTGCTCCCAGCTCCGGGTACCCCTGTCTACCGGAGAGGCCCACTCCCGCTCTGGAGCTGATGCCTGATAGTCCAGCAGGGGCCCTAGAGGTATAGGTACTTCTTGACTCTGGTCGGAGGTGTTGGCAGGGCCTGTGGCCACCACCCACTCACCGGTGGATGCAGCACTTGCTCTCCAGGTACTCCATGCCAGCAGCTGCATCCCCCACCATCTGCAGCAGAGTCTTCACCCGCAGGCGGGCCCCCTCCGTGCGGAGGAAGGTCAGGAAGTCGCCCCCTGCAGGTGGGGAGGACCTGTGCTGAGCCTTCTGCCGTAGGGGTGCCACCTGGCCAGGCTGTGCGCCCTACCTGGAGCTCAGCACCCCACGCTCACCCTGCACAAGCTCCATGACGATGTAGATGGGCTGCTTCTGGGTACAGACACCAATGAGACGCACGATGTTGGGGTGGCTGTACTGCTTCAGGATCCTGGAGAGCACTGCTGCTCAGACTCCATGTGGCCAGGCCCATCTCCCCAGGGCCCCCCAGGGATGACGGGACAAGAGCTTGGCCTCCAAGGCCAGCAGACCCAGACGTGTGACCTGGGACAGCCTCTACCCCTCGGCACTATAAGGGGTTACTACCTGCAATGTGGGGCCTCGAGGATTAAACGCCACCACAGAGGTCAAGCATTTTACACTGTGCCATGCAGTGTAACCTCTGTGTATGCGGGACCCGTGGTGATCATTAGTTTATCACCCACCTCGCTTCCTGTAGAAATTTGGCCTTGATGTCAGGTGGGAGCGTCTCTCGACAAGACTTCACTGCCACCAAGGTGTTGTCGGCTCGCAGGCGTCCGCTGAACACTTCGCCAAAGTTCCCCTGAAACGGTCTTGGGCTCCTACCACGGCCTTCCCAGTCCCACAATTCTCTTCTCTGCTCCCCGCCCATTCTTTACTCAGCCCCCGTGCTCGGACACCTCACACAGGCTCTCTGGGAGTTTGTCCCTCACTGGGGAACCTAGAGAGCACATGGGGCAGGCAGGGAAAGTTGCCTCCCATGTGCCACCCTCCCTGAGAGAAGTGACATGGAAATCCAAAAATCACTCTCCCTTGGGTTTGAAAAGCATTCTGATTTTTAGGAAAGTGACTTCTTCCCTAAACAGGTATCTGATGGCTTACAGTAACAGGGTGTCTCCCTGTGTGCACACAAGAGCTCGAGGGGGGCGGCCTGGGTGGGGGTAATGAGGTCAGGGTGCTGGCAGAGCTGTCTGCTGGGAGTTTTCAGGGTAGGTACTATCCCATTTCCCGGAGGACGGTGTGTGGTGGGGGCTGGGCAGGGAGTTGGGGTACAAGTGGGGAACCAGATGGGGCACGGAGGTCTCTGGGTGGCAGCGCAGGGGGCCCAGGCGTGACTCAGGAGAAGCCGCCAGCAACAAGGAGACCAGCAGAGGTGCACTCACCCGTCCAATCTGCTCGCCCAACACCAGGTCCTCATGGTTCAGCACCCACTTGTCCTGGGGAAGAGAGGAGTTAGGGGATCAGAAGTCTGAAGAAAAGGGGTGCTGGGCCCTTAGAAGGGCTATGTCCTCCATTTCTTGATGCCTCCATATGTGACCAGGGGTGAGACCACATGGGAGCACACTGAAATGATACGGGGTCCAGGCAGGTGCCCTGATCAGGTAAGCACCAGCCTGGTGTGTACAGCCCATGGTATAGGAGTGGCCCTGACATTCCAAACCTAGAGCAAGGCTGGCCCCGAGGGTCACTCACTCTGCACCTTGTATGTAGATGGAAGGCCTGGAAAGCCCTTTCTGCTCAGACGCTGAGTAGGCCTGACCCACACTCCCCAAGCCCTGCCACAGGTGGCATGGGCCGGGCTGGGTGCAGGCTCACCTTGGGCACAGCCCTGTGCAGGACGACACCGCTCTTCTTGGTGAGGGGCTGCTGGGTGCTCAGTAGGTGGTCGATGAGCAAGGGAATGCTGGGAAAGCCTTCCCCTTCCAGTCGGTACAGGTTCTGCAGGGCAGGGGACCCGGGGTCAACAGCCTCCATTCTGAGGGGGCCTGAGCCCTGGGAGGGGAAAGGGAGAGCAGCAGGGGAGAAACGGCCTGCCCAGGACCAGGGACAGAGAGACCTCCAGAAAATATGCCATCTGATAGCACATGACATCCTGCTGCCCCACCAGGGAGGACTCACACTTAAGCCTCTATTTTGTTGCAGGGACTGGGTGGTCTCTGTGGCCCCTTTCAGCCAGCCCTGCTAGGGAGGCATTCAAGACCTGGCAGCTATTCCCTACCCTGAAAGGTCATTCCCCTTGGAGAAGGGAAGGGAGGGTTAGAGTGAGGCCTGGAAGGCTCAGGTCCCAGCCCCACTCACGTCCAAGGACTGGATGATGAAGTGCCGGGGCAGACCATCCCACAGCACTGACAGCACGTACTCCTGCTTGCCCTGGCTCTCCCGCACCAGGAAGTCCCCAGAGTGCACCAGCAGCTCAGCCACCTCTGCCCTTGGGATGGCCCCGTGGTACCACAGCTGCTCATGCAGGGGCTTCTGCACCTCCGGAACAAGCTGCAGCGGTGGAGGGAGCTGGGCAAGGGAGGATCGAGGAGGATTCACTCAACCAGCTTGTTGAAGAGGCCATGGGGGCAGCCAGGGGTCTCTCTCTCCCCTCTATATGCCCTCAGCCCTCACAACCACGGAGTGGCATGCAGAGCCATCCACAGGCCCCTGGAGTGGGCAGTGGATGCCTGAGGCTCATGCTGGGCAGAGCTGGGAAGGGAAGCCCAGGCAGGACGACCCCAAACCAAGCTGGTGCCTCCTCCTCCAGGCCACAGGCCCCCAACCACTCCTGGAGTAGGGAGAGCCATGGAATAGTCAAGGTTGCTGGTCCCTTTATCACACAGGGGCAATGAAGAGGGAGGGGTCACAGGGGTGGCAGGGTCTGGGGACATGTGCAGCCTGGAATCCCAGGGAATAGAGGAACTTCCCAATAAAAGCAGCCTGGGCAGACCCTCCTCTCTAGGACATCCCAGTGACTAAATTTGAAACACAACAATAGGGGGGTCCAGGCTGGGCATCACTCACCGAGAACTTGGGGCGGAAGATTCCTGAGATGTGGCTCTTAAGGATCTCCAGCGTGGGCGTCCTTCCCCCCTCTCGCTCCTGCTCCTGAGGCCAGGGACAGACGTCAGCGGGTGGCCAGGCTTAGGGAGGGGGAGGGCGAAAATGAGGAGCGCAGCCCCAGGTGGGCAGGCCGGTGGCAGGCAGCGGCGCGGGCGGGGCAGCTCACCGAGGACGATGTGGAGTGGCGGTCATCCTGCAGGAGCAGCACGGGCGGGGGCTCGCCGGGGCCCAGCTGCTCCAGCTTGGTCTGCAGCAACTCCTGCTGGGCCTGCAGCTTGGCCTGGCTGCACCGTGCTACCTGCAGCCCCTGCAGTGCTTCCTGCAGCGCCTGCCTCTTGCCCAGCAGCTGCACCCTGCAGGCAGGGGCGGGTGGGAGGGTGGGTGAGAAAGGGCTCAGTCTGCGGCGGGTAGCCAGCAGCAGGTAGGGGAGGCAGGAGGGAGGGAGGCCCAAGAGGCTGCTGCAGGCAGGGGCCCACTCACCGCCCCCGGGGGTGGGTGTTCTCCTCTTCATTCCGGAGCTCCTGTTGCAGCTGTGTAACCATCTCCTGCCGCCTGAACACCATCTCGGTGGCCACAGCCAGCTCATCTGTCACTGAGGTCAGCCTGCACCCAAGAGAAGGGCAGCATTAGAGCCAAGCCCTCCTGCCCCCTCAACCCATGTCCAGTGCATCCCTGTAGAGCCAAGCAAGCCTGGCCACCTGGTGACAGCTCTGTGTGGGCAGTGTCCACGACCTAGCCCTGCCTACATAAACACCCGTGGTCTGCTGGGAGCCCCGCCACGGCCCAGGTGCAAAGCCACCACCCACGTGTGCTGCACGCTCTCCACAGTCAGCTCGTTCAGCTGGAGCTCCCCAGGCTCCAGCGGTTCACCCTCCTCAAGCAGTGACTCATCGAATGTGACGCAGGGTGGGACGTCAGGTGCGGACCTGCGGGGGACAGCGCCCCATCAGTGGACAGGCCGGCAGCCCTGGGCCCAGCAGGAGCAAGAATGGGGCTTACCCATACTGTCGAAGGAAGCCTTGGTACTCAGCCTCAGGCTGGATGCGGGCAGCAGCTGCAGCCATCTCCCGGTGAATGGCCACCACCTCATCCTGCACCAGGCTGCTAATCTCCAAGTATTCCTGCAGGATCTCCTTCCTGCCCCCCACATGGAATCCCCAGTCAGGGAGGCCTCAGGCTGGGCAAGCTTGGGCAGTTCAGGCCTAGGACCCTGGGTTTGGAGTCAGGGCTGGGGTTGATCCCTGCCTCACTTCGTGCTAGCCATGCCACTCTAGGCAAATTATTTAATCTCTCCCTAATCTTCTATTTCCTGATATGTATAAGAGGGACACTAGCAGTTGTAATAAGGATCCAGTGGGCCAGGCACAGTGGCTCATGCCTGTAATACCAACACTGGGAGGTGGAGGCGGGTGGATTGCCTGAGGTCAGGAGTTTGAGACCAGCCTGGCTAACATGCTGAAACCCCGTCTCTACTGAAAAAAACAAATACAAAAATTAGCCAGGCATGGTGGCACATGCCTGTAGTCCCAGCTACTTGGCTACTTGGGAGGCTGAGGCAGGAGAATTGCTTAAACCCGGGAGGTGGGGATTGCAGTGAGCCAAGATCGCACTGCCGCACTCCAGCCTGGGCGACAGAGTGAGACACCATCTCAAAAGAAGGGATCCAATTGAGATCCTGTGTGCAGAGTGTCTGCTGTAGAGGGAGTGCTCAGTAAACATGAGCTACAGTCATCCCTGCCCTGGGCAGTTAGCTCTGCACACCCACTACCAAATAAGCCATCAACATGCTGCCCACCCCCGTCCATATCTCCCAGCCCAGGCACCTCCCCTGGGCCCCAACCTCATGTACTCGCTCAGCTACTCAAAATGTCCCATTGGCTAGCTCTAAGACACCCCAACCTCTCTAGTTGAAAATTGAGGCCAGGCGCAGTGGCTTATGCCTGTAATCCCAGCACTTTGGGAGGCTGAGGTGGGTAGATCATGAGGTCAAGAGATCGAGACCAGCCTGGCCAACATGGTGAAACCCCATCTCTACTAAAAATACAAAAATCAGCTGGACATGGTGGCACGGGCCTGTAATCCCAGCTACTCGGGAGGCTGAGGCAGGAGAATCGCTTGAGCCCAGGAGGTGGAGGTTGCAGTGAGCCAAGATTGCGCCACTGCACTCCAGCCTGGCGAAAGGCACTCCAGCCTGACTATATCTCTAAATAAATAAATAAATAAATAAATAAATAAATGAATGAATGAATGAATGAATGAACGGCTACCCTTGTATCCTAAACCTCTTCCTCCCACACCCTTCCCTACATAAGTTAACAGCCACTCCATCTTCCAGCTGCTCCAGGCCAAATCCCCAGAGTTACTGACTCCTCTATTTCACGCTCCACTTCCAATTAGCCCCAGGACCTGACCGCTTCTCACCTCCATTGCTACCTCCCCGTCCTAGTGGCCAAAAGCTTGGATATGGATTACTGCAAGAGCCTGCTCTCTGGCCTCCCAGCTTCTGTCCTTGCCCCCTGAAGTCTATTCGCAGCATAGCAGCCAGAGTGGCCTTATTAAAACAGAGGTCAGGGCTGGGCATGGTGGCTCATGCCTGTAATCCCAGCACTTTGGGAGACAGAGGCAGGCAGATCGCTTTGAGCCCAGAAGTTAGAGACCAGCCTGGGCAACATGGTGAAACCCCATCTCTACTAAAAATATAAAAATTAGCTGGGTGTGGTGGTGCATGCCCATAGTTCCAGCTACTCGGGAGGCTGAGGCAGGGGAATCGCTTGAACCTGGGAGGTGGAGGTTGCAGTAAGCCGAGATCATGCCACTGCACTCCAGCCTGGGCAACAGAGACTCTGACTCAAAAAAAATTAAAACAAAATGAAACAAAAAAACAGAGGTCAGATCATGCCATTCCTGTTCACCCAGAGCCAAAGTCCTCACCATGGCCCTGCTGAACCCTCTATCACCCAGTAGACCTTGACGCCTGACTCCTCCAGCCTCGTGTATGACTCTCCCCCTCCCTCACTCTCAGAGGCACCACTGGTTCCTGGCTATTAGTCCCTGGTACTCTTCTACCTCAGGGCCTGTGTAGTTGCTGTCCTCTTTTCTGGAATGGTCTTTCTCCAAATAGCCCCAGGATTCACTCCTGTGCCCCTCTCAGGGGCCTCTTTGAATGTCACCTCTCAAGAGGCTTTCCCAGACCACTCTGTGGACAACTGTCACCTCCTCCCTTGCCTCCGTGCTCTCAGGTCCCAATCCACTTCTCTTACTTTATTTTTCTCCATGGCTCTTAGTGCTCCTCACATCCTCACTCCACTAACACGAAAGATCCCTGAGGACAGATGTTTTTGTCTACCATTGTTCTCTGCTATAATCCAGAGCCCAGCACAGTGCTCAATGAATGTAATAAAACCCTGGAATAATGGGACCCTGGAACAGTGTAATTCGGAGGTAAGTTGCCCGTTTCCAGTCCTTGGCCCAGGTCCCGTTCTCATGTGGTTACATGGCCAGCACTTTCCCAGCAATGGATTTTCTGGGTCCTGCCTCTGGGCCTGATGGCTGGGCTGAGGGCCGCTCAAGGGTGGGGGCCAGGGGACGGGGCTGTGGGCTTACAGGATGCAAGCCATCTCCTCGTGCAGGTCCTGCAGTGACCGCAGCAGGCCGGGCAGCAGGAGCTGGTGGTGGTGCTGGTGGTGTAGCTGTGCAGCCCGCACGCCCAGCACATAGCGGTTGTGGTGAGCAAAGAGCTTCCACAGGCTGCGCACATACTTGTCCTTGGCCTTGTCACGGTCCTTGTCTGCCGGATGGGGGGCAAGGGGTATAGATGACAGCATGGAGGCCCAGGCAGCCACCACTCTCTGAGTACCCAAGGACAGGTCAGCACTGGCTTCGGATTCCCTCCCTGCCAGCAAGGGAAGCCACGAACCTTTGCTGGCCTCCTGGTACTTGCGCTTGGCTTGGGCACTGTCCCGTGCCAGGGCTCGGTACTGGCTCTTCAGCTTCTCAATGTCCTGGCTGTGAGTCTAGGGAGAGAGGAGAAGCCAGTGTGGGGCAGCAGGTCCCCAACTATGGAGGATTCTTGCCTGGGGTGAAGCCCTGGAAAGGTCCTGTCATCAGGTAGGGAGTACCTGGAGACTTCTGGGAAAGCTGGCTGCTAGTGTGAGAGTCAAAGATCACAGGGCCTGTTAAAGACAGGCCCCTTGGGGAGGCAAAGAGTTAGACTACAGGCTACAACGGTCCCTCCTTGGACTGAGAATGGTAGCCTGATGGCAGGCAGGGCCAGTTGCAGGTGTGTGCAGCCTGTGCAGTCACACGGGGCTCTACATGTAAAAGGGCCCTGTGCTTGGTTTCATGCTCCATTATTACCACCTTGAAATTCTTAACAATCTTTTAACAAAGACCCCCACAATTTCATTTTGCACTGAGTCCTGCAAATTATGTTCTTGGCAGTAGGAATAGATGACAGCCTGAGATCAGTGTTCTTGTCCCCGTTCTCCTGTTTATGTGCTGGGATATATTGGGCAAGGGCCCAATCTCAGTTTCCCCATCTCTAACTGAACTAAATTCCTCGACTAGATCAGTCTTTTCCTTAAAGGGCCAGATAGTAAATAAATATTTTAGGCTCGTAGGCCATATGGTCTCTGTCACAATTACTCAACTCTGTCACTGTAGTCACAGACAATATGAAAACAAAGAGGCATAGCTGTGTTCCAGCAAAACTTTATAAAAATGGGCCCACCCTTGAATTAGATGATCTTTTGGGGAGAGGAATGGGGCCAGGGTGGCCACCAGGGGCCGCTGTGGGTCCATGGCTAGGCTGGGCTCTGCACTTGAGGAAGGGGTGTGGTGCAGAGAGGGTGACCAGCACACTGAATGGGGGCACTAGGCTCCCAGATAAATAGCCAGCTCCAAATCACACAGCCTCTAGACCGAGGAGCTCGGTGGGATTCAAACCTAGGCAGGCTGACTTCACAGCCCGAGTCCTTGACCTTCAGGAGGCCATTCTGCTGCCCAGTCTCTGGGGCCCTGAGAGGAGCCTGCCTAGGTGGAAGGCAAACAGACTGACCCTCATTCCTCTCCCTGACTCTCAGAACCCAGAGTCAGATGGCACAGTGTGGAGGTGAGTACTGATTCTGAGCTTCTCCCAGGCAAATGACCGGTCACTCATCCTTAACATTCCCAGCACTTTGCCCAGGCACAGAAAAAGCACAGAGAGGCCTTGCTGCAAGCCAGCCCAACATAGGGGAGGAAGAGAGGAAGCTGCATCAAGGTTAGAGCAAGCCAGGCCTGCGGTCAGGGACTTCCACTTCCCCAGTGAATCCAGTGCCTCTTGTGCAAAACAACCCCTTGGAGGCTCAAAATTTAGATAGAACTGACTGAAGCCCCATTGCTGCCCGCTCACCTTGGTGAGCTCCTGCTGCAGCTGCTGCCACTGCTCGCTGTAGGTCTTGCGAAGCTGCTGCCGTTCCCGGATGAGCAGGCTCAACTTGCTCAGGGGCCCTGAGTTCAGATCCTCCGCGTGCTGCCGCAGCAACCGGCTCAGGCCCTCAGTTTGGCTGGTGATCTCCGCCCAGGACTATACAGCACAGATGGGGGAGGCAGGGAGGAGGGGACAATGGCTCCCAAGGCTGGGCCTGCCAAATCTCCAACCACTGCCCCAGAGGGCCCCCGGGAGAGGAAGGAGAAGGCAGTTACAGCCAGCACCCACAAGAGTCCCATGGAGACCCACCTGGCTGATGGGGCTGTCGGGGCTGATGCCCCGGCTCTGGCCCCCACTGTCCTGCACTGACATGTGGTGAAGCAGTCCTGCATACTCCCTGTCACTCTTGACCCGTTGGGCCATCCACTTTCTCATGCCCTCCAGTAGACGAAGCTCAGCCTCCTGCATCTGCTGCAGGACCCCGTGGCCCTGGGGGGTGCACAGCTCCGAAGAGAAGCCCATAGTGCTGTCCTGGGGACAGAAAGGGGGCCATCCCTGGGGGCAAGGCAGCAGCTGGAGATGGAGGCATGGGAAGAGGAGGCTGGGGACTGTAGGGTCAGGATGGGCTACAGACAGGGAGGAGGTGGGGTCCTGCCTCTCTCACAGGCAGCCATGGGTACCTAGCAGCAGCCTGGCCTGGGGACTGGCCCTCATGGCTTCCTTAGTGTCAGGGATCCCTCCCCCGTTCGGGAACAGGAGCCAACCTGGAGCCTCTCTCCCCAGGCCCTTCCACCCACCGCCCCTTATAAGAACACCCTTGCCCAGGTCCTCGACAGGCCAAGGCTGCCCCAGCTGAAGCCTCAGGCGGCCACAGCCTGAGCCCTGCTCCTGCGGCCATCCCCGCCCTTCCGCGGCCCCTACCCCCACCTGGGTGGGTCTCCGGCCCTCGGAACGCCTGCTCTGCCCCTGCCTGCCGCGCCCCCTGCTCCCACCGCTCCTCCAGGCCCCGGGGCTAGAGTTACCCACGCGGGCAGCTGCTCCTGGGGCGGCCTCGGACCGACTCAGGCCCGGTGCCGACCCCGGCCAGTTCCTGATTCCGCGCTTCCTCCTCCCGCGGTTTCAGTTGGCCCAGGCCCCGGGGCGGGCCTGTGGAGGGGAAGGGGCGGGCGGGACCGGCCCGACGGCCCCGACGCCTGCCAGCCCCCCTGCTCCGCGCTGGGCAGCAGCCTCCAGCCGGCCGCACGGCCACGGAAACGGAAGGGAGGAGGGGGCCGGCAAAGAATGGCCCAGCCGAGAGCCGCCTGCGCCCCGCAGCCCCCAGGGCCCGGCAGCGCCCCGGAACACCGGGAAGGGGTGCAAGGTGGGAGTCAGGAGGGGGGGCGCAGGGTGAGGCCCCAGGCAGATGCTGGGCCCAGGGAAGCCCAGGGTGTCCGGGGGGGAACTGAGGGGAGGTGCGCAGTCCTAGCACCAGGCCAGGGGCACCGCAGAAGAGGAAGAGTGGTCCCAGCCCTCCCCACCTCACGGAATTCCCTAAGGAGAGGCTCAGGCGCCAGCTTCCATTTGAATAAAATTTCCAAGTAAATATCCCGAACAGAGGCTGCTTCTCAGGGACAGGTCCTGGTGGCTCTGTCCCCATCCTCCTACCCTCAGGCAGGGGCTTCCTGTCCCAAGGGAGACCTGGGGCAATCAAGGGGCAGGGGTTGGGGAGTGGAGATGTGTGGAGTTTTCCATTTGGGACTCAGGCTCCTCACAGCAAGTCATCTCATTCAGTACTGCCCCCACCTTAGGCCTCAGCCCTATAGCCCACAGCGGCCAGGTCACTTCAGCCAAGGAAGACACAATAGGCCCAGTTCTTCACACTGCTGGAAACCAGGACTTTGGGAGTGAAGTGCTCAGCTCCTGAGGACCAGGGGTCACCAGCCCCACCCCAGGGGGCTGGCTTCCAGCCGCAGTCTCCTTCCACTAGGGGCTGGCACATCCTCCCGCCCCTTGGAGGACTTTGGCCTTCTGACGGGCCCACGTCCAGGCAGGCAGGCCACTGTGTGGGCCTAACTGGCCCCCTATCCTCAGCTTCAATGCAGGAGCAATGGTAACACACTGGAGACTGGCCCTGGTTTGCATAGTCTGCACGTTTAATCACTTTAAAACCTCTAACATTATCTCGTGTCCATTAAATAGAACCAACAATGCTGGGCCTGTTTAAATTACAAGAAAAAAATCACTGTGCACCAACCCAGTATCTTACAAAACCAGCCGGGCTGGCCACAAGGGTAGGGGGATGGGAGAGGAGGGGGCACCCCTGGGCAGGTGGCTGGGTACCAGGAATGGCTAGGAGAAAGAAAAGGGGGCTCCCAGATGGGAGGGGACTGATTGTCCTAATGGGAGGGGTGCAAAAGGCACGTCAGAAGAGGAGGTTTGAGGGGGGCATGACAGGTCAGTGCTTTCTCCATCAGGGCACAGTGTTGGAGGGGGCTAAGTGCCACCACCTGCCTACCCCTGGCACTTGGAGAGCCAGTGACCTATGAGCCCCTGGCATGGCGAGCCCCACTTGAAACACAGATGTCAGCCTGCCCCTCCCACTGGGACCCCCTTTCCTTGAGCCCGCCTGGCTGGCCTGCCTCTTCAGGACTTGGGGCTTAACTATTCCTCACTCCTCAGCAACATGCTGCAGCCCCCACACCTCAGGGCCAGGGCAGCCAGGGAGGAGCAGGGCGGACGGTGGGTGTGAGAAGGTGGGTAGTCCAGCTGCTACCCCCATTAAAAATACAAAAACAAATCATCAGCGTCTAAAGTGAAATAATCACAAAGTGAAAATATATCCTCAAACAGCCCCTGAGATCCCCACAGGGGAAAGCAGCATTGGGTGGGAGGCCAGAGAGGCTGGCTGGGCCACCGCCCCTCCCCACCACCCACCCAGGGGCTCCAGGTCTGTGAGTGCCAACAGCCCAGACAGCCCGGGCTCAGAAAACAGGGACTTGGGCCCTGACGGGAGAGGCAGGTGCAAAAGAGGGAAGGGTGGTCAGGACACCAGCACAGGGTTCAGCCAGAATTTCAGCCTTGGCTGCGCCAGCCTGGTGGCCAGTGGTGGTGGAGGCACGGAGCACAGGGGTGGGTCATGGGACACAGGCCACAGGCCAACATGCCACGTGCACACCTGGAGGCACCTGCCTTGCCTTGGTCCCTTCCTATGATGGCTGCTGCTGCCAAGACTCACCAGAGCTGGGGGACAAGGTGGAGGGTGCAGAAGCCCTTGGAGAGGTGGCCTCCTCCCTCAGATACCTCCTAGGCCAGCCCCCGACTGCCTGGATGGGACCATTATTGCTTTAGAGGGACAGGGAAGGGCAAGAGCTATGGCCTGGGTCAGGAATCCCAACAAGCAAAGGCTGCCCCTCTTCACTCCGCAGGAACTCTGGCTGGGGCTGGGGCCTGGGCCTGGGCCTGGGCAAGCTGCCCTAAAGGTTTCACTCCTTTCTCCACATGGAGGGGGTGCTGAGGGTGGGGTACGGCCCTCCCCGCACCCCAGCTGGTCCTGGGCCCACCTCAGGTGGCCAGATGGGCCCGAGGGTAGGAAGGGAAGCAGTCTCCACCCCTCTTGCCTCCCAGCTGGGGTCCAAACCCAGTCCCAAGATAAAAAAATACTTTGGTGAATTAAAAAGTGCCCAAGGAGGGGATTGGCTTGAGGGGGTGGGCAGTGGGCTCATCAGAGGGCGCTCTGGTCTTTGATAAAGGCGGTCCTCTCGCCCCGGCCCTCATCCTCTTCTGAGTCGGACGGGCACTCCTCCTGCCAGGCTTCAGGGGGCAGCCCCTTGTAGGAGATGAGGCCACGGTCCATGGTGTACACCTTCACCCCCCGGAAGCTAAAGCCAGAGCGCAGCTGCAGGACCAGGAAGACAGTGACGAAGACCAGCACGATGAAGGCGCAGCTGAGGCCGGCCACCACCTCAGGCAGGTGTGAGGGCAGCAGCCCTGCCCGCAGCCGCGGCCCCGCCTCCATCTCTGGGGGCAGCCGGGGTGGCTGCTGCTGTGGCGGGGACTCTCGGCTGCTCTGGCTTTGCCGGGAGCAAGTCTGCTCCACAGGGTCCAAGGAGGCATGGCTGGGGCAGCTGAGGCAGTCTGTCGGGGCCGGCCCCTGGCATGTGGCACATGAGGCGTGGCAGGGGGCGCAGACGCTGGCCCGGATGGTCTCCACGTCATTCTCGGTGCTATAGTGTGTATCGAGGACTTGGGGGGCAAAGCCTGGAGGGCAGTGCTGGACACAGCTCTTCTGGTGCAGGGAGAAGCCTTCCTCGCACACTGCCGGCATGGGACAGAGGGCGAGTGTGTGTCAGCTAAACAGACTGTAGCCCCAGGACCATAGCAGCCCCAAGCCAAGTCACCACATCCCCAAGATCCCCCAGCCCCAGGACTGTGGTCATCCCAAAAGCCCCAGGGGCCCTAGGTCTCTTGAGACTTTTTTCTTAGAGCTGGGCTTCAGGACAGGCACCCGCCATCCCCCCCGACTCCGGCCCCCAAAGCCCAACAGCACCCACTACTGACCCACACAGGCCTGACTGGACGTGAGGGTCTTGCAGCCACTGCTTTCTGGAGGTATGGGCAGCCCCTCAGGGGCAGTGCCATAGAGTACGAGGGTGAACTTTGTCAGTGTCCCTGTTCCAGAGCGGTGAGGAGGCAAGAGTTGGACAGTGCTGGCACCACGCCCAGTGCCCTAGATCCTGCCAGCCCTCCACCTCGTACCCCTACCCCTCAAGTGCCCCCAGTACCATAGTTGTTGGCTTCGCTGGTGTTTTCAATCTCTAGGACCCACTCGCCAGAGGGATCCTCATCCCAGGAATGAGTTGTCATGAAGGCCCAGTCATTAAACCCATCTGCGGAGTAGTCATGTGGCCTGGGGAGGGGAGTGCACACAGCCCTGAGGCCTCTGGGGGACCCCAAGCTAGGGACATCTAACCCACAACACACAGGCCACATACCCTTCCCCCACGCAGACCAACCTCATGGGGCCAGAAGTGCCTGCTGGCTTGGCTGTTTCCCAGCGAGCCAGACATGCTCAACCAGGGGATTCTAGAAGGATACACAGGCACTGCACAAGGTGGGGCACACTACTGACATTAAATAGGTGCAAGCCAGGGATTCCTGCAACATGGGACAGTCCCACAGGACAAAACTGTCCCTCCCAAAATGCCAAGAGTGCCCCACTGAGTAGCACTCAGTGCCCCCTGGGCCGTGTGAGCGAGCAAAGGCAAGCACGCGGGCTGTGAGAGGAGGAGGTGATGGGCAGGGCGGGCAGGGACAGAGCAAGCACCTGGCTGCCAGCAGGGTGGAGCGGGTGCCCATGGGGCTGACCAGGTGGATGGCCAGGTCGCCACGGCGATTATAGGACAGGGTGAGCCGCGCCTGAGCGTGCTCCAGCCGAGTGATGTGGTTGGGCTCGCCCAGGCACGCGGTCACGGTCTTCCGCACCTCGAGCCGTTTCCCGATGTCTCTGTGCAGGAGAGGACCATGACGGTCAGCCTGGCCCAGAGGGACCAGCGGGCACCCCCTGCGACTCTGGTCCCACTGGCCCCCTCCCAGCCTGGGTCCAGCCCTCACTTGGGCTCCGTGAGGATGTCGATGATGCACTTTCGCTGGGGGCCCACTGTGGTCCAATTCTGGGCCAGGGCCACCATGGCGCCTGCGTCCAAAAGCCCGTAGCCATACGAGTGGCTCACTGTGGGAACAGGGAAGGTGAGGTCAGCTGTGAGGCACAGAGTGCCTTCCACCTAACTCCACATCCAGCCTGCCGGGCCAGCCTGTCCTCACCTTTCCGGCCCACACCATTGGTGGCCCAGTCGTTGGCGTTGAGGTGGCCTGGCTTCGAGGTCTGTACCACCAGGTGCTGCATGTCCCGCCATGTGAGGTTCTTACTGCAAAGAAGGAAAGGAGAGGTCAGGGATCAGTCTTTTTTGGGAGCAGCTGGAGACTAAGGGCTGCCCTACAGAGAGTGCTGGTAGAGACAGGGTTGCCCCTGGCCCCCACCCACTTACTTGGCCTCCAGGGTGAGAGCAATGATGCCGGCTGCTAAGGGGGCAGAGGCTGAGGTGCCCGTGTGAGACTCCGTGCACTTCTGCCGCAAGTCAGTCGTCACCTGCCAGGAAGATAATCATATTGGGG